AGTTCTGGAGCATTAAGCATAGTTTTACTTCTACAGAAATGCATGCATTTTGTATCATCATTGAGAAAACATTTCATGAGAATGGCTTCTATCCATTCTCAATGCTAAAATGAAAAATTCTGTTCCTGTGCATCCATGCTAGGTTTTTTAAATTCACACAGGTAGACCTGTGTCTCAGCCTTTTTCTTAGGTAGAGCTCTCCTTTTCTCCCTCTCCACCCCTCTCATGATCTAAAGTTTGGGGGAAACAAGAGTCCTGAAGCCATAATAGCTACTCCTGGAACAAGAAGCTTAGAGCTTAGCTGTGGATGGGGATGGGATGCACAGGTGGATTGAATGTTGGAAATAAAATATATAAATTCTACACAGCCTCCTCAGACTCATAATGCATCTGCAATTCACAGTCTGCAAAGAGATTAATATATCACTCAAACCATCTCTTTTAAAAAAGAAGAAATAATTCTGGCAAAAATTCATCCATTACACTGTCTTTAAGCTTTCCAAACTCGTCTCCTACAGCAGTGGCTTGCAGCTCTGAGACAAGGGTCATAAACTTACTTAAGATTTACTTAGTCTTTTCTAGCCTGATCTATGCTGTGTCGGGCATCTCAAGGCAGAAGGTGCTTGCAACGATTTTCAGTGCTGAGTTCAGTCCACAGAGCTTTGGCTCCCTGTTCTTTCCTCTTTTTTGACACCTGGTGTTCCAATCTCCTGTGAAGATTGTGCCCTTTTGCAAATGGTTAAAAAGCCTTGTTCTTTTGAGCTGGGTGCTGCAGACATCTGGATACCCTTAAATTGGATGCAGATGCCATTTGTTCTTTGGCCTGCTGCAGCAGTTCAGTCACTGCATTTTCCAGAGCATTTCTTTAATTCTGCCTGTGCTTGCAAAACATGTTCCCTGGGGTGCCTGGGGCTTGCTCAGTTAGGAGCAGCATCCATAGAATGGTTTTGGTTTAGACTGGATTTACATCCAGAGAGGAGATGTGTAAGAAAAAACCAATCTGGTTTATGAATCTGGGTTCAGGTGCGTGGAAAAAACAGGGCAAAGAAGAGCAGCTGCAAAGAAAGGGACATGCAGGTACCAGGAGCTGTCGATATTTATTTATTGCATTTATATACTGCTAGCATAATTTATAAGAATTCAAAAATTAAGAATATTAAATGCTAAGATATTAAAACAATGTTGAAAAATGAAAGGCTCTCTAGTTGAATGCAGAGAATGTGAGTGTGAGTCCATTCCCAAGTTTTATAGTCACACAGAAGAACCCCGTTTCCTTGTGGTTGGCAAGAGAGCTTCCATGAGCAAACATGGCTTTGAAGGGGCTTTTCCTGCTGGACTGAGTAACAGAGCAGCTCCATGCCAAGACAGGCCCCATTTTGGGCTTTAAACAGTTAAAACAACAGTTTGAATTGAGGCTGGATTGACAACCCATGCCCATCTTTGCTGTTGGAGTGATGTCATCCAGCCCCGTGTGAAGGATACTGTGTCTGTGGACAACCTTTTGCTGCTTTCTTTTGCTCCTATCAGGCTGGGATCAGTAGGTCCCAGGTAAGCTATGGAAAACTGAACAGTGTTGATAACTTCAGCATAGGCTCTCTTGAAAACTGCCAATTGGTTATCATGGCCAGGGCCAGACTGTCAGTCTGTGTGTGGGGCAGAAAATTTCCCCATGCTGTATTTTTTCACACCGTGTATGTTTGCATTTATCCATAGTTGTCTGGGCTGTTGTACTGCAATTCAGTCATGCTAGAAGGGCTAAGTTATTCTTCTAAGGCAAGCATTGACAAACCTTACTGCTCTCTTGCCCATAGGGAACTAAAATGAAAGGTATGGCAGCCCCTTCTTGTGTACAATGCAGTTGGCTCCTGGCTGGGTCTGGACCAGTTTTGTATGTAGTGTATTTGCCCTGCATGGACATGCGCTTGGTCTGTGGAGTAGTATAGAAATGCAATCATAATAAATAAAAACAACATTTCTAGCATTCTTCAGTAGCAAACTGAAGGAAAGCTGAAAGGCAGACTGTGATTATACTTTGTTTCAATTAAGGATTTAAGAGTTGTGCTGAATCAGGCCAGGGGTCCACCTAGTCCATTTCTCTTCACTCAGGGGGCAGCCAGTTGCCCCTGAGAAACTCAAAAGTAGGCTATGAGTGCAACAGCACCTTTCTGACCAAGTTTCTCCACCCATGACCACAGACCCACATCTGTCCTTTGATGGAAGCAGCTAGTTGTTCCAAATCAGATTTTTCTCAACTTGAAATCGAACTGATAAGCAGTACAGCAAGGGAGCAAAGCTGAAGCTACAGTTACCTTAGCAAAAGAAAATTAACTTTGTGATATATCTGCTCTTTTTGGGTATAGATCTTAAATGTAATGTGCTCTTTCAGATGTAGCCATTTTTGTTAAAAATAAACAAATAAAATGGAGATGTATGCCGTGGTCTTTACATTTTTACAAATATGCCAATAAAATAATTACTTCATAAAGCTTTGAATGTGTTTGAATAGTTAAACTATATTGTGTGGTTGATTTAATTTCCCTCGAAACACATATTTCAGTCCAAATATTTCATAGCTATTGGGAGAACTTTTGATATATTTATTCTGCTCATAAAATTGACATGGATTCAATTTTAGCTCTGTTGGCTAAATCTGAGGTATTTTGTGTGGTTATTGAGGGAGAATGTGTGTTGGAGAGTACTTGTAAAAGTGAGTCAGACATGCTAAATCAGATAGCATTATTTAGAGCACTGGGAAGTTTTCTCTTTCAGCTTTTTTCAGAAAACCCCCTTTACTGTTGGTTGGCTATGGCAGCTAGAACGGAGCATATGCCTCATGCCATGGACGAATTCCCAGTCTGCCAAGGAGAGAGGCTTTCCCTGCGAATTTTCGCTGCAATACAACGTGTAGAATTAATGCACTGATAAAAGTAGTAGAAGGAACAGTAGGAACTGATGCCTGACCTACATGTACTGCAGGATAGATTGGCATGGTGAGCTCCAGTCTGACTGCAGATGGGGGGACTTTTCTCTTTAATGCTCCCCTATGTTAAAAATGACAAACCCTCTGAGTGTCAGAAATTAAGAGTATTATTTAACTGTCTCTAATAAGGTTGGATAGTTCTTGGAAAAATACAAAAAATAGACCTATGGAAAAATACAAATCCATTTCGATGATGATGATGGCAATAATGGAGGGCAAGGACCTTCAAAGTGTTCTGTCAGGTGAATTCTGGCAGTGGATATGTACTAAGTTAGGGAAGAAAATTATAATGATGAATGAAAACAACTTTTCCAAGGACTTATATTGGTGGTATCTTAGCCCACATAAGATGAAGATACATGCTGGAGGAATGGTCAGCAAGATAAACACTACCTACATTTTTTGGCACTGTGATGAAATAAAATCATCTGGACTTTATCATATTGAACTTATAATACATTATAAAATACCACTAGGTCCATCATGGGTGCCTCTGAGTTAGCAAATGGGTGCTTAAAAATCTCTGATATAGAGATGATTTTAATTTGATGCCCTCTGCTAAAATTTCTGATGTATCACATTGGGGAAAGAAGTATTGTCCCTAATTGTCTCATTGACTTTTCAGAATATGAGATGTTGCTCCTAGGATGAAAATGTCTTCTAGATGAGAGAGCCAAATGTTTGAGCACAGGTGTATTAAGAAACAGCGCATCATCATTATATTTCAGAATGGAAAAACTCCAGGATAGCTTTCAGCCATACTTTTACTTTTTTGGGTTTGCATTTATGTCTTAGAAATTATGTATTAATTAGATGAGTTATTTATTTATTTTGTATATTTTAAATATTAATTTGATAAAAACAAAGAAAACAACAGCAAACCCATGCAGTTAGAAAGGTAGCATGACGGGAAGAGTGTTGAGCAAGAATCTGTTCCTGCTGTGTTAGTTTTCTACTGGCAGGAAGCATTGTTTGTGGAGATTTTTCTATATGGTAGGACAGCCTTCAAAAGTAAAATAGTTCATCGAAGTGGTGCAGTCCATTCTACGAGTACTAGAACATTCCTCTTCTCATTTTGTTGTATGTTCAGGCCCATCCAAAACAATGCATAGCTAGAATGGATTGGGTGGCAAATAAGATGCAAATGTGCACTGGGTTGTAGTAGTTCAGAGCTCCATGGTTTTCAGTAACTAGGAGTGCTTGGTTTTGAAACTGGAGTGCTGAAATACTCACCCTGTTGAGGTTTCAACGTGGCCTTCCCATCATATAATGTGTTGGATGGGAATATGTGTTGTAAGCCGCCCCGAGGGTGTTGTAAGCCGCCCCGAGGCTTTGGCGAATGGGGCGGCATAAAAATGTTTTAATAAATAAATAAATAAATAAAATATAAAAGTTTGAACCCGGCTGGAAAAGGTGTGCATTGTAATGCATTCCCCCGTCCCTGTACTGGGGAGGACATATGAGGTGGAGAATCAAAAAACTGACATACTCCTTTTGGGTGTGTAGGAAAACCTATCATTTCAGTCTGGGGAGGTCCAGCCATTTCAGGAGTATTTGCAGAGGTGTTTCTCTGATAGTATACAATTCTAAAAGGGGAGACTTGAAGAAGGATTAAAGCTGCATATCTCCCAAATACTGAAGAATTAACAGTCGTGTGTCATCCCTGACTATAGTTATCTAGACTGTCTACAACTGTATAACTCTGTCCACCCCCAGGAGGATACTTAGAGCACAGGTATGTACATATGTGTGGCCATGCTCCAAGCCATACATGCACACACATATAACTATGAATATAAAATCTTACACTTGAGGTCCACTGTACTGGTATCCAACCAGATACCGCCCAATGAGTGCTTGTGAGTTTCTTTTTCTTAATGTTGCTCTGGGTACTCTTATGATACTATGGGATAAAATCTGGCAATCCTTAACATATGTGTCAGTGCTTTTGTCCAAAGTGCTCTGGGCAGGTTACCCCCTGCCCTCTGTGTTTAACTGGAATATTTCTTCTATTTGGCAGGACAAATGCAGAAACCTTTTGAAGATGCCTCATTCGCACTGAGGACCGGTGAGATGAGCGGACCAGTATTCACAGATTCAGGGATCCATATCATCCTACGTACGGAGTAAAAGTGCCTTGGTGCGACACACTTGGCAAGGAAAGGGTGGCGGGAAAAAGGAACAAGAGAACCTTTATTCCAATCCTCTTGTGCGCTCTCTATCCCCAAACAAACTCCATATCTAGCTTTCTTATTTTATAAAAAAACGCTTGTTTCATATCTCAATACTTCTTTGACACCTTGATGCAATGTTTTCCCCCACCTGTAGCGATGCATGGTTAACAGAGTCTGAAAACACAATCGAAGCAAGGAGACAGTAGCATCTTTCATAGGCCCAGCATGGAGGATATTTTAAAGAAGAAGTAACTAAATCTTCAGCCACTTGAGTTTGATATTGACCGTTCCTCCAGTTCAGGAGACACTTGTGTATTCAGGGTTATACTTCAATGCTTTGCTCCACATTCAACTCAGAAAAGAGTTATTTATTATAGGGCTCCACTGATGGTGGCAAACTTAGCTCTTGGTGTTTTAGATAGAGTCAAAATCTCTTCCACTAATGTCTGTCCTTGTTTAAGGTAAAAAAGTAATATAATCTCCCCCCATACCCCATGCTCTCTTGCCCAGAGTTCAGCACCATTTGCTTTCCAAATGGCAAATCATTGTTAAATTGTTCTTGAATACTTTACAAGGGCTGTTCTTCTGCAGCATCACCTGACAGACTCCCATTAAGGTAGCAAACGCCAATGTGTGGAGGCCTAACTGAGCTGTGAGAGTGCACCAATGGAGCCCACCAGGCCCTCCTATTTACTTCCATAAAGGGGAGGTTTCCATGCATGTGGAGGGATGTGAATTCCCTCTGTTGCATTGTCCTGTCTAATGAAATGAATGGGGGTGGACTTCAGTGTGGACCTCTGCCCAGAAGCCTGATTTTTAATTTGTTGTGTGTTGGCTGCAGGTATGCCTTCATGTTGACTTAAAACTTGAAGATGCCTTTTTAGACAAGTAAAGACATTAGCCATTGGTACCCTTCTCATACAGCTTCTCTCCTCCCCCAAGTTTATATCCATGTAAAATGACATTAGGATAAGCTGTATGTTAACCATTCTTGTGTATGGGTTGTGTATGTTGAAACGCCATCCCAAGGGAGGGCAATTAGATGTAGGCTTCCAGGTTTTTGTTTTTGTTTTCTCTCTCTCTTGTTTAAGAAGCAGGTCATGATCTGTTTGCGGTTTAAGAAAACACTGTAAAGTCAATTTTTCAGTTATGCTTTATTGCTTTCTGTTTAGCAAAATCAATACGATTCCCACAAGTTCCTAGCTTTTTGGTCTGATACAAACAAGCTTTGTGTATATAAATGTATAGAGAGAGTGTTCCAGTTCTCTTATGCAAGAAAAATAAAAAACCCTCACCAATTAAATATCATCCGTGCTTTGACCTTACTGTTTTTCTTGCTCTCCTTTTCTTACCGCTTGCTGGTTTGTATCTTGCTTTCTTGTTCATTGTGTAAAGCTTGATAATAAAGAACTCTTCAGTCATAAATAGTTCTTGCCTTACATCTTAGTGTAAGCTAGCAGAACTTGCAAGCCACCAAGCCAAGTGCAGCTTGCCCATCCCTGAATTGTAGCCTGCGCTTATGAACTTTTTCTTCGGGGCAGGCCTCAGGTTTGCTTAAGATGAGGCCTACCTTGTAGGCTGGCTGGGCTGCATTCAGTTTGATGGCTCACAAGCTTTGCAGGCCTGCACTGAAACCTTTATGAGAAGAGTTCACTGAAAAGGAAAAGGAACAACTGTGGCTAAATACTGATTGTCCTGTGGAATTTCTCAGTGCAGAGAGAGAGCTGGAGGAAGTGTCCCCTGAATAAATGAGGTCTTTGTCCCAGGTGTCAAGTAGCCATGTTATGGGAATGAGGCAGGACAGATAGCCACAGAGAGTTCACATCCCACAAGGCAACCACATACCTTGGTTTGGTCATGTTTTGTACAGTAGTGTTGGTGGACTTCCTGAAGAGAAGGAGAGGTCTGGATCTGGCCATGTTCTGAGCTGCATCAGAAGTATAATTAGAATGGGCTTGGCTTATTGAAATTATAAATGGCTTATAAATGACAGAATGGGCTTGGCTTGGTGAAATTGGATATTTTTCTTTTGAAAAGATTGTTTGCCTGCTTAAATTCCAAAATGAACTGGGGTCAAGCTCACCTATTGCTGTTCTCATTAATTCCAAAGTTTTAAAGGACTTAAACTGATTTTTGAGGAATGTGGTTATGTTCTACCTTTAAATTTGAACGCAGAAATCTGTTCATCTGGGTCTTAATTTTGAAGGATAGTCTTATTTAAACACATAATCAGATTTTGGGACCATTGATTTCTGGGTTTTGAATAGATCAGGAATCTTCAAGTGTGAGAAGGGTGCACATTGCTCCTTCTAGCCAATAACCTACATATTCCAGCCAATAGTGTGCCATAAGCAGAAACCACAAGGAAGCAAATACTTATTTCACCAGTTTTGAAACTCCCCTTGAGGTTTATTTCAAAATTATTTCAAGATAAATGTTGAAAAATGTTTGAAGCACCATTTTGCTTAAGGTCAAGTGAACATCTCTGGTATGTGCCTGGGACTGACTGACTGACTGACTGACTGACTGTGTGTGTGTGTGTGTGTGTGTAATTTATTCTGAAGCTTCTGGTATTTTATTGTCAATCTAGAAAATGGATTAAATGGACACACTTACCTGGCATTTAACTGAGTTGCTATTTTAGCCAATTTCTACACCATAATAGCTTTTATTTTCATAAGGCAATGTAAGTGTTCATTCAGAAGACCAGGAACTGCCTAGTTGCTTACTGTGGAGATTCTTGCTGTGTAGCCAGTGAACTATATGAGGAGGCAATTTTCTTGAGCATCCCAACCTATGGTGCCCAGTAGTGACACCATTTTCCAACCATCCTTGTGAAAGTTGGATCTCAGCTTATTGCATCACATGGCTAATTTGCTGATATGGTGAAAATATCTTTCTTAATGCTTACTCCCAGCCTTCCCCAATTTGGTGCCCTCCAGTTGGATCTCAACACTCATCATCCCCAACTATTGACCATTGGTTGGGGTTGATTGGAGTTGTAGTCTAACATATCTGGAAGGTGCCACTCCGGCATTCTCAAAGGTGCCTCCTCTTTCCTCTGCTTCCTTCATCCAACAAGTGCCTATGTCCCTGCTGAACTGGAGACAGTTGTTAAGTCCACACTGTGGAAGGGTGTTGAACTGTTCTCTTTACGGGTCATTTGCTTGTACAAATGTCATGTTCTTTGTGAAGACCTGTATGTGTAATGGCCTAATTCTCATTGCCCTCTCCTAGGAAGAACTACCCACTTGGTACAGAAGGTGATGTAGTAGGAAGAGATGAAGCTGCTCAGCTCAGAAGCCTTGCCTATACTGAGGGGCTTAAACAGAGCTTGGATTTTAAATCAGAAGGCAGGGCCTCTGTTTTCTTCTGTAGTATGCACAATGCCAGTTCCAGGAAGTGTTCTGGAAATTTGTAATAAGTCAATACTACTCATGTTTTACAGGTGCAGCTAAGCCTGTGTGTGCCTTGCCTGAGGGCACATGCTGAGTTTGTTAGAGGCAGATTTGTGTCTGTTCACTGCATCAACATGGCTGTCACTCTGGAGCAATACAGATGTGGCACGTGAAAGAGTCGGTAGCTGCAGTGTTCAGAACAATATTGAATAGTCACTGCAAAACAAGAGGGTTTTGTGTGCGAACACTAGACATTTGCACCCCAGCACTTTTCCTCCCAAGCAAAACTTGCTGTGGAAACAAAAGACCAGTCAGTGCACTGGATGAAAGTTTTGTCTCCATGGCAACACATTGATTTCTTTATTTTTAAAAAATAAATCTCCCAGCTGCAGGGTGACAAGTATGTGAAACTGGAGGTGGCCGAGGAGTGGGTGGGAGGAAAAATTTGCTCAAATGACCATGGTCGGCTATGAACAATTTCTGTGGTTCAAGCAGAATAGCAGTGATGGAAAACAGGATGTTTTCTTGCACAACTTTATTTAGGTCACTTCCATTGAAAGGGTTATCCATCACATATCATCAAATCCATGTTGAACAAGACTAGAAGATGTATGATTGCCACCTGGGAGTTGTGGAATGGTGACCTCTGTCTACAGAATTGAGATGGATTGCCATTAGGGCTTTCAGCTTCATAAAGGACTGTATTCTGAGAAAATGGCAAGCAGGGGTAGGCAACCTCATGCTGTACAGGTATTTTGGACTCAGCTCCCATAATCCCTGTCTATCAGTCATTGGCCCATGGTTGCTTGGAGCTGTAGTCTGAACCATCAGGAGTGTGCTGGGTTGGCTACTCCTGGATCATGAATAAGGTGTCACCTGGCAACTTTCATTTTAGATGAACAAAAAATACCAGCGCTTCCCTAACGGGTTTTACATTTGGAAAAATAACACAGAAGACAACAGAGACTATGTCTAAGGGAAGTAGGACTCAATGAATTGGTCCATTTTTTGTTTTTGAATTGTCATTTATTTATTTATTTTTATTTTTTGATTTATATCCTGCCTTTTTCCTGCAAAGGACTCAAGGCAGCTTACATCTCCTTCTCCATCTTATCCCCAGAACAACAACCCTGTGAGGTAGGTTGGGCTGAGAGTCTGTGACTGGCCCAAAGTCACCCAGTTGGTTCCATGGCTGAGCGGGGACTAGAACCCAGATTGCCTGAGGCCCAGTCCCATGCTCTTAACCACTACACCACATGATAATCGGTAATACATTTCTTCTCTAATACATGCATTTTGAATGCAGTTTTTCTAATATTTTTCAAGTAGTTTCTTGTAGCAGGAAGGTTTGTGCATGATTTTAATTCATGTACACATTTTGTGCCCATTTTTGCCAGTTATGCACATTTTTATTGGGACAATTTTGCACTGCAAGCATTGGAGAAGTGCAGTTAATGAAGGATACTATTTCAGTATGAATATTGCTTTAAGAAATGCAAATTAAGATTATCCCCCAGCTCTAGCTGTAGTTTAGCAGGTGAGCACATGTTTTCCATTCTGAAGGTCAGTGGTTCAGTTCCTGCGCCATTTGTCTCCTCTTGTTTACAACTTGTTCCCCCACTTTCATTCTAATGGGGAAAGTACACGTTACAAACAGAAAAAATACACACTTTTCTCCTAATGACTAAATCATGAAAATGTGTGTTTTTAAATGCAAATTTTAAAGTGCACATTTTAAAAATGCAATTGCAAGTGCAGGCATTTGTGAACTTCCCTTTTTTGAAAAAAAATGTTCTTCCTTTCCTGTTCAGAATTGCAAATGAGGGAAGTTCAAGTGATTTCAGACTGAAATGAATTTCTGTACACACCTCTTCTAAAACAATACCCCAAGATAGCTGACAGTGTTTACACTAATTCAGTTATCTTTAGAACCACACCATGTTCATGTTATCTATTAAAGCCATAAATTCAATCTGTGTCTCTGGTTATGTATGAGAAACAATCTAAACCAGCAATCCAGGAGAATAATAATGAAACACAGTTGAAAAATAGGCTTCTTGCTTGAAGACCCAGAGAACCATATTTGGCTAACAGAAAGAAAAACTTCAGAGGAATGGTGTCATTTCACATTGTTTTCTCACAAATAGGTCAATGCATGGGCCAAGGTGGAAAATCCCAAACTGCGCTCTGAGAGGGCTTTTAGTGTGCTTTCCAATAATTAAGAATTTTCTGCAAATCTGAAGAATCCACCCCCAGAGAATAAGCCTTTCTGTATGATTGGATGCTCCAGCCTTGCCTTATCTTCTCCAGCACTGGGCATCTTCGAATCATTTGCTGCCAGTACAGACGCACTTCAGGATCTCCAGCTCTCAAATGAGGTTGCCCCGTGTGTCTGTCCATGCAGATATGGAAGATAAGGTAGGACAACAAGCAAGGAAGAAAGATGGCCAGTGGGTTGCCTTGCAGTGATGCAGTGAAGGCAGGGCTCCCTGGGATGCTGCCAAGCACTTCCTTAGATGATGATGATGATGATGATGATGATGATTATAACATTTCTATGCCGCCCCTTGCCGAAACCTCGGGGCGGCTTACAACATGATAAAATACATTGAAATACAATAGTACATAATAAATTACCATTAAATATAAAAATACAAAAATGCATTGATTCACAAATATAAAATTAAAATTATCAGTATAAAATAAAAATATAGGGGGAGAAAGAGAAGGAAGAAGAAGTTGCCCTGGCCAGATCATATGTTTTAACAATTGAAATGATGTTTAAATAAAAAGGTCTTTACCTGGCGCCGAAAAACCAGTAACGACGGTGCCAGGCGGACCTCTTTGGGGAGTGAATTCCATAGGTTGGGCGCCACCGCAGAGAAAGCCCTCCTCCGGGTACTTACTCTC